GGATAGATTACATGCTAGTCCACAGAACAAATTTCAATGAATTTAAGAAGACTGAAATCATATCAAACATCTTTTCAAACAGTGGTATGAAACTGGAAAGCAATTGCAGGAAGAAGACTGGAAAAACACAAATATGTAAAGACTGAACAACATGCTACTAAAAACCAATGGGTCAGTGAAGAAATCAAAGAAGAAATAAAAACGTACCTTGAGATGAGTGTCAATAGAAACATAATAATCCAAAATCTATGGGATGCAGCAAAAGGAGTTCTAAGAGGGAAGTTTATAGTGATACAGGCATACCTCAAGAAATAAGAAACATCTCAAGTAAACAACCTCATTTTACACCCAGAGGAATCACAAAAAGAAGAACAAACAAAGCTCAGAGTTAGTAGAAGGAAGGAAATGATAAAGATCAGAGGAAAAATAAATGAAACAGAGACTAAAAAATCATAGAAATGATCAATGAAATGAAGAGCTGGTCCTTTGCAAAGATAAATATAATTGACAAAACTTGAGCTAGTCTTATTAAGAAAAAAAGAGAGAGGGCCCAGTTGAATAAAATCAGAAATGATAGACAAGTTACAACCAATATCACAAATACAAATAATCAGAATACTTTGAACAATTATATACCAACACATTGGACAACCTATAAGAGATGTATAAATTCCTAAAAACATATAGTATTCCAAGACTGAATCAGGAAGAAATAGAAAACCTGAACAGTTCAATTTCTAGCAATGAAATTGAATCAGAAATCAATCAAACAAACAAACAAAAAACCAAAAAAACCCAACAAACAGAAGTTCAGGACCAGACAGCTTCACAGGGGAATTACCAAACATTTAAAGAAGAGTTAATGCCTATCCTTCTCAAACTATTCAAAAAAAAAAAAAAAAAAAAATAGAAGAGGAGGGAACACTTCCAAACTCCTTCTATGAGGCCAACTTTACCCTGATACACAAACTAAAAAAGACACTACAAAAATAGAGAATTACAGGCCAATATCCCTGATGCATAGATGCAAAAGTCTTCTTCAAAATATTAGAAGCTGAATTTAACAATACATTAGAAGAAGCATACATCATGATCTAGTGAGATTTACTCCAGGGATTCAAGGATGGTTCAATATCCACAAATCAATGTGATACACCACATGAACAAAATGAAGGCTAAACATCACATGATCATCTCAATAGATGCAGAAAAAGCATTTGACAAAATTTAACATCCATTCATGATAAAAACTCTCAACAAGGTGGGTATAGAGGGAACATCCCATTTATAATAATAATTATTATTATGATAAAGGCCATTTATGACAAACCCACAGCTAATATCATACTCAACAGTGAAAGGCTGAAAGCATTTTCTCTGTGATCCCCACTCTCATCACTTTTATTCAGCATAGTACTGGAAGTCTTAGCCACTGCAATCAGAAAAGGAAAAGAAATAAAAGGAATCTAAATTGGAGGGAAAGAAGTAAAACTATCACTATTGGCAGGTGACATGATTTTATGTATAGGAAACCCTAAAGATGCCACCAAAAACTTAGAACTAACCAATGAGTTCAGTAAAGTTGCAGGCTACAAAATTAATATACAGAAATGTCTTGCATTTCTATACACTAATAATGAATTATCAGAAAGAGAAATCAAGAAAAGAATCCTATTTACAATCATATCACAAGAATAAAATACCTAGGAATAAATTTAACCAAGAGGGTGAAGACCTATACTCTGAAAATTATGACATTGATAAGAGAAATTGAAGACAACACAAACAAATGGAAAGATATACTGTGCTTGCTCATGGATCAGGAGAATTAATATTGTTAAAATGTCCATTGCTACCCGAAGCAATCTACAGATTCAATGTAATCCTTATCAGAATACCTATGACATTTTTCACATATCTAGGACAAGTAATCCTAAAATTTGTATTGAACCACAAAAGAACCCAAATAGCCAAAACAATTTTGAGAAAGAACATAGCTGGAGGTGGTAGGCTCCCTGACTTCCAACTATACTACAAAGCTGCAGTAATCGAAACAGTATGGTACTGGCCAAAAATAAAAAAATCAGACACATAGATCAATGGAACAGAATTGAGAGCCTGAAATAAACCCATGCACATATGGTCAGTTAATCTCAGACAAAGAAGACAAGCGCTCACCATCACTAATCATCAGGGAAATGCAAATCAAAACCACGATGAGGTAGCACCTCACACCTGTCAGAATGGCTATCATCAAAAGGACAAGAAATAAGCGTTGGCAAGGATGTGGAGAAAAGGAAACCCTTGTACACTGTTGGTGGGGATGTAAATTTGTGCATCCACTACAGAAAACAGTATGGAGTTTTTTTAAAAAATTAAAAATAGGGCCACCATACAATCCAGCAGTTCCACTCCTGGGTATTTATCCTAGAAAACAAAAACACTAATTCAAAAGATGTATGCGCCCCAACGTTCACTGCAGAATTATTTATAATTTGCAACTGCCAAGATATGGAAGCATCCTGAGTGAAAGGATAAAGAATATGTGATTTATACGTACATATACACACACAATGAATATTACTCAGCCATAAAAAAGAATGAAATCTTGCATTTTGAGATATGGATGGGCCTAAGGGGTATTATGCTAAGTGAAATAAGTCAGACAGAGAAAGACAAATACTGTATGTTTTCACTTATATGTGGAATCTAAAAGAACAAACAAACGAAACAGAAACAGACTCACAGATACAGAGAACAATCTAGTGGTTGCCAGAGGGAAGGGCAATGGGGGGGATGGGAGAAATAGGTAAAGGATATTTGAGGTACAAATTACCAGTTATAAAATAAATAAGTCACAGGGATGTAATGTACTGCACAGAGATTATAGTCAATAATATTGTAATGGTGGTACATAATCTATAAAAATATCGAATCACTAAGTTTCACACCTGTAACTAATATTATAACTGCACTATACTTCAATCATAATTATACTTTAGTTATACTTGATGAAGGACATGAAGTTCAGGTTGATGAGCCATGGCCGGGGCTCTACTCCACCATCGTTTGCTGTCCCACATTGCCTCAACGTGGCCCTCATGTCTAGGGGCTGCTCTAACCTTCTGTGCCTTTACATTTACCTAGTTCAAAGCCCATGAACACCATTCTCGTTTGGTCTTCCCAGCACTCAGTGAATGAGACAGGGCAGAGATGGTTACTACACAGAAACTTAGGTGCAGAGAGGTTGAGGCTTGCCTAGGGTCACCAAGAATGGGGACAAGAAGCCAGGTTTTGTGATACCCAGTTCAGTACTCCTACCACCTTATCCCTGATATCCTTAGGAGCAGACTTCATTGAAATGGACTATAGATTTTTTTTTTCCTGAATTTTTTTTTAATTGAAGTATAGTTGACTTACAGTGTTGTATTAATTACTGTTGTATAGATTCCTAGTCAGTTAGCAAAACCCTGGGGGTGATTGCTTAGACTCATTACGGTAAATAAACCTAGATACTTAGGGAAGAATTGAATGTTTTCCAGAAGATACAGACATTGTTTGAGTTCAAAGTACTTCCATTTTCCATTCAGTTTCACAATAAATTCTGGGAAAACTAAGTAGGTCTTTACCCAGATATAAAGGGGCCTGTTCAGGCTCTATTTGCTTAGTGAAATCCATTTTCCAGAACTTTCAGCAGTTCTGTACATGATACAGTGAAAGGGTCATGGATTAGGGAATCAAGTGCACTTGGATTTGAATCTCAGTGCTACCATTCACTCAGCTCTATGATCCTAGGCATTTCTCTTAATCTCTCAGAGCCTCAGGTGGCTTAGCTATAAAAATCGAGATTATAGCACCTTCATGGGTGGTAATGGTCAGGGCCTTTCTGCACAGCTCAGGAGATGCCCTTCATATTAGATTATTATAAACACGGTGCTCACTGAAGTTGTACATCACAGTGCCCCCAGTTTATGATGAAATTGAATGAAATAACCTCTTGTGTGCTCACTGCACTTTTGTTTTCATTTCTTTAATTGGTCACATGTCTGCTATTTTATCAGGAGTTCCCATCTTGCACCGTGAGGTGAGTCAGTTTCCTGGCACTTGCTAGTACTCATGCAGAACTCCATAAACCTGAATGTTATATTGTGAAGCTGACCCTTGGCTTTCTTCTCACGCAGGAGTCTAGCACCAGAGCCCTTAGAGCAGTGGTCCCTGACCTTTTTGGCACCAGGGACTGGTTTCGTGGAAGACAATTTTGCCATGGATGGGAGGGGGAGGGCGGGGTGTGTGGGGGGTGGTTGGTTCAGGCGGTAATGCGAGCCACGGGGAGCAATGGGGAGCAGCAGATGAAGTTTTGCTCGCTTGCCCGCCACTCACCTCCTGCTGTGTGGCCGGTTCCTCGTAGCGGTCCTCGGCCCGGGGGTTGGGGACCCCTGCCTTAGAGAGGTGCATCACAAACCTATGATACTGTCTATGGCAAGAGGTCTCTTTCTGGCAATTTTAAAAGGAGGCTGGGTCTTTTTAGGGAGTTTGGCTTCTTGTGATGTAGACCCCTCAGCCTGCTCTGCCTTGTTCTTTTAGTTTTTCAAGCATGTATCCCTTCCCGGAACAAATAGTGTAAGGCCCTACAAACCGAATGTGTAAAATGTGATTCCTGACCTCAAGAAGCTCAGAGAGCAGTCAGGGAGCTAGACCAAGACAACAGGAAACTAAGATTCAGGGAGTACAAAGGAGTGGTGGGCGAGTCCATAAAGGGCTCACAGCTCGGAGAGGAAGACGGGAGTGTCTGAGCACTACTTTCTACATTTCAAGCCCAAACTGAGGGTGATTTTTTTTTTTTTTTTTTTTTTTTTAAGACTTGCTGAAGGTTGCAGACCTGGTGGGAGATAGACCTGGACTGGAATTCAATTCTTGTCACTCTAAAGCCATTGCTCAGCCCGTTATTACTTTTAGATATTCTTTACATCATTTTCTGCCTTGTCTCACTTTTTTTTTAGGCCTGTTTTCCTGCTCAGGACAGCGTGGCTTCCTTGAACATGTCTTTCATTATGATTCACGCTAACTTGAAGAAAAAATTCAGCTGCTGTGTGCTGGTCTTTCTCCTGTTTGCAATCATCTGTGTATGGAAGGAAAAGAAGAAAGGGAGTTACTATGAGTCCCTTAAACTGCAAACCAAGGAATTCCAGGTGTTGAAGTCTGGTTCCCAATCTGTGTCTTCAAGCGGCACCCACAACCCCCAGAGGGGCAGCCAGGCCCTCAGTGGTCCCAAGGCCAAGCCGGAGGCTACCTTCCAGGTGTGGAACAAGGACAGCTCCACCAAAAACCTTATCCCCAGGCTGCAAAAGATCTGGAAGAATTATCTGAGCATGAACAAGTACAAAGTGTCCTACAAGGGGCCAGGGCCTGGTGTTAAGTTCAGTGCGGAGGCCCTGCTTTGCCGCCTTCGGGACCACGTGAACGTTTCAATGGTAGAGGCCACAGATTTTCCCTTCAACACCTCTGAATGGGAGGGTTACCTGCCTAAGGAGAACATTAGGACCAAGGCTGGGCCGTGGGGCAGGTGTGCTGTCGTCTCATCAGCGGGATCTCTGAAGTCCTCCCAACTGGGTCAAGAAATAGGTGGGTTTTGGGGTGTAAAGACTGTTATCTGAGCAGCCAGTGCTCATTCACTTGGAGCATCTGGGCATGTGGACAGTACTGGAGACTAGGAGTCCCAGTATGGCTCCATGGACTGGCGGAGCGGGCCCAGATCAGTGTTACTCAACTGTCCTTCATGAGTTAGAGGTGGCACGGGGGCAGTGGAGAGGGTGGGGATCCAGTCTTCCAGCACCTTTATCAACTAGAATGGCTTTATTTTGATCTGTCTTAAACATTGGTGTTCCACAGAAGATTTTGTTTGAAAAGAAAGTTCCACTGCTACCAATAAGCAAAACACTACACGGACATTTAAAAATATTTAAAGCGTAGATCTCTACTTTTCCTTCAGGTCCTAAAATTCTGTAATTTACTGATTAATTAGCGACTGATTGTCTCTTTTGGCCTCAACTACCTGGGTAATTTTTAGTTTTTCTCTTTGAAAAGAATTAATTGGGGACTCTGGACCAACTTCAGGAAGATCCATGAATCCCTAAAATCATGTGCAAAAATATGTGCTGATTAGGAGTGTATAAAATGTGTGTGTATGTGTAAATCAGTCTGCATTTTTCCAAAGAGAGTGTCCATAGCTTTCAGTTGTGACCCAAAAAAGGTTAAAAATCATTGGTCAGAATGTATCAATTTGCTTTTCTTGAAATTCTTCACAGTTAATAAAGATTTAGGGATAAATTAGGAGCTTGGGATTAACATATACACACTATTATATATAAAACAGATAACCAACAGGGACCTCCTGTATAGCACAGGGAACTATACTAAATATTTTGTAATACCCTATAAGGGAAAAGAATATGAAAAAGATTCACTGAATCACTGTGCTGTACACCTGAAACGAACACAACATTGTAAATCAAATATACTTCAGTAAAAATAAACAAAAAAAAAAAAGACAGAACGTTTATCCAGATTTGTAAACATGTGTACAACACAGAGCTATGGATTTGCCTAAAGCTCCTTAGTTCCCTTATTTTGAGAGAATGTGTTTTTCTTGACTGCGAAATGAATCAGACTAAAGAAAGCAAAGCACAGGAAGCCTAGCTCTTCTGTCAGGCTCTGGAAGGTACTGGAGCAGGTGAGGTCATGTGTCCCCTTTTTTATTTCCTTCATATGACTGCCAGGAAAAATGGTCTGAAACCAAGCACAGGCTCTCAAAAGAAGAAAAGGAGAAGCAAATTGGATTCTCTAGAGCAGAAAGAAGTGGTGAGATCATATTTCATAACTCTCCAAATAGGCAGCACTTTGGAAGAAAAACTGCCAAGATAACCAGTCCCACCCCAACTTCTGCTTCTGCTTTTGCTTTTTTTGGTTTCTTTTGGACTTCGTTTTCTAGAAACTAAATGTAATTGGGTTTTGTTCATGCATAATGGAACTACGTTTCTTTCTTTCTTCCCAAGTCATTATAGTCTGCCTGGCTGGAACCATGTTGCAGTTTCAGGCAGAGCCTAATACTCCCATGAATTGGAACTATAATCTTTATTTTTATGCACTCCATAAAACGTGGATTTAACTAAACATTAATTAAAATGACCTTTTTCTATAGACTGGAGTTACAATTTCAAATATGTATTTCCATGGAAGGATTTTGATCCTGAGATCTAACAAAAATCGCATGCTGCACTTCAAATGTTCTGCCTTTCATAGGGTTATTTCCTTTGGGCATTTAGTCTAACAAAAATTTTAAGGAATTCATTCATATGTTCTTTTATTCAGCCATGGACTCATCAGCAATACCAAAGAGGAACTTAGAATACAAAGAAGAGAGGGAAAGGAAAGACCCTTTGTTAAAGGCCGCTGAGCTCGACGGGCCCCAGCCTTCCCACTACACCTGGAATTTGTCCAGCTTTAGTCCCAACTGTTGAACATAGCAAATGGTTTCAAACTGTTTGCTCTTATAAATAGTACTGCTAAGGAGGTTTTGGGTAAGACAACTTAAGTGACTACTACTGCCCTCCAAAGGTGAAATATCCTCAGGAGTGGCAGTAGAAGACCAAAGTAAGATATGTTTTATGGCTCTTTTTTTTTTTTTTGGTCCATTACAAAATTGTTTACCAGAGGGACTGTAACAATGTGTTGTGTCTCCGGCAGCCCCACAAACCAGCCAATGGTGGGCACAGTCATTTTCAATTGTTTTTGTTACGCATTCATGTAAAGTATCTTAGATTTGTTTGAATATTCATTTCAAGCGGTAGCGCATTTTAAAAATCTTAGAATTAATAGGAGTAACATGTATGGTGTACCTGCTGTGTGCATAACAAGCCTTGCTCTTTTAATCCTCCCAGTAATCCTACGCAGTAGGTACGATCATTGCTCCCATGTTGCTCAGGAGCTAAGTGCGGGCACTCAGAGAGGTTATGCAGCTGGTTAACGGTAGACTGGGACTTGAAACTGGGGTGTCTGACTCCAGGGGGCCCACACTTAGCCTCACCTCTGCTCTTGCGCCTCATGGTGATTGTAGCTTTATAATAATGAATGAATCCCTTTCCAGGTTAAAATAATCCCTTGATACTCTTCCTGACTTGCTCCCCTGGAAGAGAGGAAAAGAGCGTTTCAGATTCTTTTCCATTATAGGTTATTATTTTGTGCCATAGTATTAATCACAATCTGTAATTATCTCGAATGTGGGTTGTTGTGCTTATCTATTGTCTGCCTCCTTGCAGTAGATCTCGAGGTCTCTAAGGGCAAGGGCCTTGATTTCATGCTCACAGCCATTGTCTCCAGCGCCTAGAACTGTGTCTGGCAGAGAGTACGAGCTTTATCAGTATTTATTGAAGGAATAAAAGCATTCTCCTTTCTCATGGTCAACACCAAGGACCTATCTCAAGCCTCTTGTGCTGGGCGTTCTCCATCTGCCCCCCCC